CAATTTCAATTTCATGATTCCAATTTTATTGGATGAAAATTGGCAGGAGCAGTGTATGGCTTATGTATGTCTTACTAAGTCATATTTTGCTGGAGATCTGAACCATTTAACATAGACATTCTTGCATTAGAAAAATATAAGATCTGATATTTTGTCTGAGATATTATTCTGGGGAGGAAGGATTCAAAGTCCTTAGATAAAAGATTCAAGGTCCAATAGGCATTGGCTCCAGTTTCGTATCATAATTTTCTCTTTTTGAAAGGATTGCTTAAATTCAAAGGAAAAATCTCAAGTTAGAATTTGTTTTCCTAAACTAATTATTAATGGTTTTGAATGTTAAACACAAGTTAAAGAAACCCTTTAAGTTAGGGAGCATATATGGAATTGAGTACATTGTTAATTAATTGCTGTAGGAATAATTTCTTGCTCCAAAATTGACCAATATATGTAAAATCTACAATACAGCACAAGGCGGGGTGTAGTATTGGACATGGAATTGGTCACAGTCAAGTACATGTTGTGTATGAGACTGTTCAGTGAGAATGAAGAGTACGTACCGATATCTAGATATGTCGAAGGAGAAGAGAACCATATCTAAATACGTTACTCCAGAACACTATATACTAGGCTTGTTTTGTCCAGGTGCCTCTCTATTCCTTCTATTTTATACATAATGCTAAAACAAGAAAGAAATTAAGAATCACAAGGATGTGTTAATTGCTGAAACTTTTGATTGGTTTCAAATCTGTATAAAATTATCTGAAATCAATAACAATCCAATGAAATGGGACTTATAATACAAGTATTTTATATCCTAGTGTAATTTTATAGCAGTATTATGAAGCTAAGCTTTGCTAAAATATGACATATACCCAATGTAGTAGCTATACTATCATAGACATACTATACTTTTTAGTCTATTTTCTATTCCAAGAACAGGCTGTGCTTTTTATATATGATTAACTAATATTCTGTATTCGCTTTCAAGTTTGATTGTACATAAAAAGTCAATTGCTAGTCCCTAAGATCTCGCATAAACTATGTTGTAGAGAGTGCAGTAATATCGTATCATGTCAAGATGGAATAAATATGTACAAACAAAAAATGTGATTTTCATTCAGAAAAAAGTTTTGTTTTTTCTTTTTGCAAAAATGCAGAGATTCTTCATATTAATTTTCCTTCCTTGTCTTCTATTAAGCGGACATTGAAGCATTAAAGGATACAAGAATAGACCTGCAGTATCCCACTGAATGTGTATCGTAAAAGATGACTAATGTGAGGCCTCCTTCAGAATCGGGGAATTTCCTCTCGTGTCTTCTACGAAGGGGAAGGGGATATGGAAGAGATCAGAATTGGTCTGCTGCCCCTATTACAATGCATTGGATCTATCTCGTTTCCTACCTTTTCTGTCTTCTTTCTTTTCTGTCTACGTTCTATTTCAGGCAGTGTCTCCCTAGACACCCGGGCCCACTTGTATAAAACATCTCAAAGTTAAGGAAAATCTCAAGCAATGTATTGTCTATGGGAAATCTTAGACTTGAGAAAATCTCAAGAGTTGAGATGTTTTATACAAGTGGGCCCCGTCCTTATATGATGCTGGCTGTTGTAAGGACATAATAACCAATGAACCCAAACCAACAAAATATCTACTACAATTTGATGTTCATTTACCAGTAGTGTAACAATGCATGGCGAAAGATACAAGTCTCTTCACATGTGGCTATAAAGATACAGGAATGAGGTCATTATAGATCAATGACAAAATAAATAAATAGTAACAGTGACCTTGAACTTGATGTTTGCACCCTGAAATATGAACATGTTGGAGGTACATGTATTCTCAAACTTGATCAATATATGAAACAGAGAAGGTGACCTTGACCTTAGTGTCCAGGAATATGAACTTGGTTGAGGTTTTCTCGTACTGGAACCAGTATATAAAATTTAATCAATGTCCATGCAGCAATGGAGTCACCAGAGTGATGACAAAAATATAATCTATAAATTGTAATGGTGACCTTGAACTTGGCACCCAAAATCATGAAATTGTTTAAAGTATTCTCATGCTTTAACCATACATGTTTATCAATTTTGTTTTAGAAATTAAGTCACTATAGCAGTTACATTGATTTTCCATAAATAGTTACAGTGACTTTGACAGTGGAGTATAAACTAGTATTCTATTACTTGACCAATACAAAAATTCAGAAATAAAGTCACTAGTGATGACAAAATGTGGACATGTGTATGTACAAACACAAGTTATCTCCCCTCCATGTGTGAGGCGATAACACTGGTTTATGGTTTAGATAGTAACAGAATTTAAAGGGATATCTACCAATAACACAAATTATCCTCTATACCGGGTATAATCACTATCCATGGTTTGGATAGTAACAGAATTTAAAGGGATATCTACCAATAACACAATTTATCCTCTATACCAGGTATATCACTATCCATGGTTTGCATAAAGGTTAAAGGCCATCACATACTGATAGACCAACTTTAGACTATTCTAATTTTCACTGAATGATTTCCCCTTTCTAGCTTTAAATCTAACAATTTTGGGGTCAAAGATCAGTTGTAGTTACTTATTTGAAAATTAATTCAAGACTCATCAGACGGTCGGTTATTCAAATCACCCTGCATCTGTGGTCCGTCATTCTCTTCGTCTGTAAAAAAATCTTGATAGTTCTATTTCTCCGAAAGTAATCATAAATGGATGGATTTTTCTCTAATTTAGGATGAAGGTTCCTCCTGGTCCCTATGTATGCATAAATCATCGACTGATCACGAAACCAAGATGGCCGACAGGAATTCATCTTGAATTTTAGAGTTAAAAGTATGTTTGCCCATTTCTCAAAAAGTACTGTAGGGATCTGAAAACCAAGATGTTGGACAGGTGGCCGTGTTTCTCAAATTTGATATGTAGGTTACCCTTGGTCCTTAGTTGTTCATCTTAACTTTTGAGACTTATCAGAAGAACAAAATGGCTGCCAGGCAAACTGAGCAAACAGCTATGAGTAAAGAAGAGAAAAGATCAAACTGACAGAACTTTCAAATGAAGATGGTACGATGGTGGGCGCCAAGATCCCTGTTGAACCATGAAAAGTTGTATGACTATCTATGGAATGTGATTGAAGAATTGATATTTGTTCCAAAAGGGTCATGGTGACCTGCATGCCCTTTAAAAATTGATTCCAAAATCCAAGGGTTTTGCTCTCGATACACAAACAAAATCAAGACGAGACATTATACAGTTTATTGTCAATACAAACTGTATCCACCATTAAATATCACACAATCTTTCATCATCTGAAATACAGCATTCAAAAACTCAATTTCATTTCAATTCACTCATTTAACACCTTCCATTTCTCTCCATCATTCACTAGCAGGTACTGTGTGTCACCACTTGCTCTTCTGCCAGTGTTATTTAACTTGTGACAATCAACCAGTAAAATCCTGACATCCACTCTCACAGCAATAATGTACTGTTACAGAAGCAATGAAAAGGATGCATTAAATTGACAATACATGTGATGTCACATAATTCACTAATTTTCATTGAAGTTGGCTGAAATCTACTAAATTTTTGATACTTCAATTTGCAGTTTAGTAAAAAGGTGATGGGCAAGAAAAACAAAAGGTTAAGGGGCCTGAATGGCTCACCTGCTCTTTACTTATATTATATCAGATATGTTGCTTGTACATTGATTTTAATTCAATTCAACAGACCCAAGGGTCCATATCTTGAACTTTCTCCCAAGTATCTTTCAACCAAAAAGTCATGCCTGATATATTTGACCATAGGCCTGAAGAAACTTGGTTAGTTTTGTGGTACATGTGCAGAAGTTGTATATTAGCAGTAATCTTGACCATTTACCTAGAGACAAACTCAAAGGCAATCTCATGCAGCCCAGCTCCATAAACAACTAGTTTACAAGTTACAAATATAAGGGTCAGCAATTGGTCAGCATCATCATGATAATGATTTCACCTGATGTTAAACCTTTAACAAACATTACCTTGCTACAGATGATAATTCAAAATCTACTTACAGGTAGGTGAACAGTTGTAGCCTTTGGCATTTGTAGTATGAATGTGTACAGTAAGGAAGGGCATTCTGAAATGCTTTATAACTAAGGTCAAAGGGAGATAACTACAATCAAAAATGCAAAGCTTTAAGACGAACAAAACTATCTTGTCAATTTTGAAATTGATACCTTTCAACAAGAAAGATTGGGTTTAAAACAGTTCATATAAGGCAATAAAAGATTCCCAACAAGACACGTGGAAAATATTTCCCGACACTGTTAGACATACAGTTATACATAATGTATAGGCTGATCCCAAATTTGTAACATTCACTTCTGACAAGAATGACATACGACATATATCTACCAATTATAAAATTTTATCAGGACTTTGTCAAGCAAAATCTGAATATCAGATAACCTGGAAAATATGGATACTTTTTGATAGCTACTACTGAATGAGTTTAATATACATAATATACCTTAAGATGCAATACTATAACTTTTGAAGGCATTTTCTAGCCATTCACTTTCAATGTTTCAATGTAATACACCACACTGCCTAGATATAAAAAAGGCAAACTCATTTTATGAATAGTTGAATAGATCTAATCAATGTGCCAGTGTTTCTTCATTACAACTTTAATTAAGTGACTGATACACCAAAACACTGTTTATAACAAAGCCATTGCTACAATGCTTTCACTTAATCATTTCATGCATTCAGTCCAGATGTTCAGCTGGTTTATTTATATTTTGCACTCCTCCTCTGATGCACCCTTACTTTTAGCACTTTAATTTGAAACACTATCATTTTCTCCTCCAACAAATACGGAAATATTTAACATCAAATTTTAATTTGCTTTATCGCCACAAAATAATTTAATTTGAAACACTATCATTCTCCTCCAACAAATACAGAAATATTTAACATCAAATTTTAATTTGCTTTATCTCCACAAAATAATTTAATTTGAAACACTATCATTTTCTCCTCCAACAAATACAGAAATATTTAACATCAAATTTTAATTTGCTTTATCTCCACAAAATAATTTGTAAATAACTTGCACAAAGATGTTTTGCTTTATATACCTTTTTGTTTATCAACATAAATAAAGAAAAAGTACACTGTAAAGCAGTTAATGATCTACAACCAATAATAAATGTCAATGCAGTACATTATTTCATTAAAATAAACTTTTTATTACACTTGCACACAAAAATATTGAATACACGTTCAAAATTAATTTCCCGTCTTACCACGTTTATAATACATGTACTGAAATATAAACTTATACAGTTCATTTTTCATGTTTATAAAGAAAAAAAGATCTCTGAAATATTCTGAACAATCCATTAGATATACATGTAGATTACTCTCCAAAACAGTTATGAAATTTAACAAATTATGTTATGAATCTGTAAAAAGCATGCAAACAACATAACAACACCATATGTATTAGTGCTACATTATACAATAGTTTTACTTTAAGCTATATCTATGGTTGGAAAACAATGAGAACTATATAAACCCTGAGGAACTGTTGCCCATCTGACCGTGAGATTGTATGGGCTGTTGTCTATTAACCCTTTCACCCCTATGTAACTTTAGTAGACTCTTCCATGCATTGATCTGGATGAGTCCATTTTGGTCTACAGTGGTGAAAGGGTTAATGGTGCTAGATGAAATTTATACCAACAAATCGGATAAAGGATCAAAACCATTTAAAGCACTATACATGTACAAACAATGCAATTACAATTTACATACATTCTCAAACAATGCAATTACAATTTACATACATTCTCAAACAATGCAATTACAATTTACATACATTCTCAAACAATCCAAGTACAATTTACATACATTCTCAAACAATCGGGCACCATTATATACATTCAGCTAGAAATTGAATTGAAAAAAAAACACCATTTGAAAGACTATTTACATATTTAAATATATCTTAATAATGTAACATTTTTGATAACAAAATTGAACACAAACACTTCATCATTGAAGTAAAACATAACACATACATCCTCTCACACTGAACGGATAAAGTACAACAGATATTTAACAGCAAACTGTATTTTCACCAAGTTCACACAAGATTTTGAGGAAGTTTTGAAGCTACTATACTGAAAGATCACCAGATATTATATTATAACTTAATTTGTTCGTCCTTTTTTAGATTTTCTTCTACTACTACTACATGTAATTTGAGTATTACAGTAAGTAATGAGCAGTGATTAACTCAGAAAACTCATCACCTCACACACAATTCCAAGTTCTGATATGTTATGTCAGTTCTACAACAGGTTTAACTTCACTAATTTCTGTGAAACCCGATAGGACTGAAATTGAGGTTTTGATTGAAGAAGCTGAGATCAACATTTCAATAGTTCATAACTTCACAGGCGTTTTTAAGTATGATGACATCAGTTAACCAAACAATATTCTTTTAATGAACAAAATAACATTCTTACAATGAAGAAAGAGTGTCAAAATTCCAGCATACTGTCATACGCGTACAGAACAGTATTAATTGTTGTTATATAATAAATCAGAAAATATACAAGAGAAATACATAAGACAAAAATTCATTTCATCTTAAGAATTTTTTGTTAGGATTTGAACATCAAATAAGTATTACTGATGGATCTGGTAGTTACAGTTTGATATACAGACACAAGCTGCTTACAACAGGAGAAAGAGTTGACATGTAATAACAACAAACTAGATTACTTCCCGGCATCATTCAAAGTCGTACACGCTAGACGAGGAGATAGAGTTGACATGTAATAACAACATACTAGATCACTTCCCGGCATCATTCAGTCGTACATGCTAGACGAGGAGATAGAGTTGACATGTAATAACAACATACTAGGTCACTTCCCGGCATCATTCAAAGTCGTACATGCTAGACGAGGAGATAGAGTTCCCTGATCCTCCGTGAGAATTTGTCACTGAGCTAGTTGTGTGTTTGCTGCCTTTCTTCTTTTTTGAGTTAGAATTTTTTGAAGAATTTGATTTTGATGGGGGTCTTTTCTTTGCACCTGATGTACCTATAGGAGCAGAAAAAAACCCTTTATCATCACATCATCAGGATTTCACAAGTACTGGTGAGTATTAAAAGCGGAAAAAATAAAAGGGTTGCTATATCCCTAACTTATTACTGGTACATAAATAGGTTTTTGAATTAAATCTCTTTGTGATTTGATAAAAAATAGTAAAAACACAGGGCTACCGATCAACGAATCACAGCCACAATTTACTAAATATTTACTAAACTACAAAAAACCTAGAAGTTGCTGATAAGTTTACCTCGCCGACTTCACTAGTGCTAATTACTGTTATTTGTAGATGTAGAATCGGTGGGAGAGGAGGCTGATGAGTTTACCTCCCCAACTTCAATAGTACTTTCTGTTATTTGTAGATGTGGAATCGGTGGGAGATGAGGCTGATGAGTTTACCTCCCCGACTTCAATAGTACTTACTGTTATTTGTAGATGTGGGAGAGGAGGGCAGATAAAAGTACCTCCCCTACTTCAGTTATTTGTAGATGTGGAATCGGTGGGAGAGGAGGCTGATGAGTTTTACTCCCCGGCTTCAATAGTACTTACTGTTATTTGTAGATGTGGGAGTGTAGGCTGGTGAGTTTACCTCCCCGACTTCAATAGTACTTACTGTTATTTGTAGATGTGGAATCGGTGATAGAGGAGGCTGATGAGTTTACCTCCCTGACTTCAATAGTACTTACTGTTATTTGTAGATGTGGAATCAGTGGGAGAGGGGGCTGATGAGTTTACCTCCCCGAGTTCAATAGTACTTACTGTTATTAGTAGATGTGGGAGTGTAGGCTGGTGAGTTTAACTCCCCGACTTCAATAGTACTTCCTGTTATTTGTAGATGTGGGAGAGGAGGGCAGATAAAAGTACCTCCCCTACTTCAGTTATTTGTAGATGTGGAATCAGTGGGAGAGGGGGCTGATGAGTTTACCTCCCCAACTTCAATAGTTCTTTCGGTTATTTGTAGATGTGGAATCAGTGGGAGAGGAGGCTGATGAGTTTACCTCCCTGAATTCAATAGTACTTACTGTTATTTGTAGATGTGGAATCGTGGGAGAGGAGGCTGATGAGTTTACCTCCCCGACTTCAATAGTACTTACTGTTATTTGTAGATGTGGGAGTGTAGGCTGGTGAGTTTACCTCCCCGACTTCAATAGTACTAACTGTTATTTGTAGATGTGGAATCAGTGGGAGAGGAGGCTGATGAGTTTACCTCCCATTGTAAAGACTCCCTGAGTGACTGATTGTCAACATCGTCGAGACTGTCAATGTCAATGTGCACATCATCCTCTACATTTCTGTACAAAATAACAACAAAATCAATAAGATATATTTTTGGGCAAAAATAAATAATTAGGTAAAACATATCCATGATGAACCCCAGGGGAACTAAGAAACAAAATTAGTGTGCTAAAGACAAAGTTCATTTAAGAGTATTAGACAATATCATGTACCGTCCAAGTTTCCGCATTTTTTTGAGGGAGACTTCAAATCTTTCATGGTCACCTTGTCTTTTAAAATGTCAGAGCAGATTTCCTATGTTTTGCCTTTGTTCAAAGTCAATAAATTCATTGTATTACCTGAACAGCTTCAATTAAGTATTTAACACTATTATGCTGTCAAATAGTGGTCATTGTAAACACTTATCTCCGATAGAGTGACAGTAAGTCTTAAGAGAAATAACTAGAAGCAAAGGCTCTTAGATCAAGAACTTAAAACAATATGTGTTAATCATACTCTTGCACAAAACATAAATGGTCTTTGAGCATGGTTATGACACTATAAGATGCTTGAATAGCAATAAACACAAACCCCTGTCTAAAGTGAATGTTATGTTTTTTTTTATATATTTCATCTCAGGAAAACAATGGATAAGTGATATCAAATAAAATTGAATGCCTTCTTTCATTACGGAGTTAAATTCCATCCAGACAAATAGTGCAGAGTTATGACCTGAAAACCCATTTTAGATGTCCATGAAATAGATCCTTGCAGATATGATCTCAGGTCAAGGTCACAACAAAAACTTAGGTCATGACCTACAATGCTGTTGAGTATTATCAAGATCCATCGCAATGGAAGGAAGAAATCACCCGAGCATGACATTACAGACAGACAAAAGGATAGAACCGTTCCATTTGTATCCTAAAAATAAATGCAAACTTGTTAAAGTGATACATGATTAGGTACAAACAGTCATACCCAATGACTTAAGTGAAACATGGCGTATGTAGCAAAGCACTGTTACTTTATAAATTATTCACACAGGATTATTGGCAACCTATTTATAACAGTGTAAGATCATTAGACTAAAACATACTTACGCATGCCCCAGCAGAAACACCCGAACCTGTCGCCGTTGTTCATCTGTGTGTTGTGGACAGCGATGGGATCTGGAAAATAAAAATCTTCCATTGATTTTTCTCCCGAGTGGTCCCGTTTACAGGGTTTCATATATCGGTTAAGTGATTTATAACTATTCATCAACATTATGTATGATGACATTATTAAATTGAATTTTAAAATTTAAAAAAACCAATCACACATTATGTAAACCATCATATTTACTTCACACACAGATCATCCAACTATAGTTACACAAACACAGACCCTAGCTTTAACAGCCCTTGTAATATTTACCTTGTACACATTTTCTTGGTATGTTCAGATATGACTCCACAAGTCTGAAATAAATGGAAAAATAAATCAAGGATGTTAAAATACCATTTCTTTAAAAACATGCACATATTCCAAATACATTCATTAATTCAACTTCAAAGCCAGTCAATTTTACCATTACACGACCGTCAGTTTTTTTACCTGAGACCAATCAAATAGCTAGCTGCGTGCCTTCAATTTTGCTATGACATATTCCAGGGGTGCAGAGAGCGAAAGTGAGGTACTTTGTTTCCTCCCATATTTAGGACCCCCTCACGCTTACATCAGGGCCAACGAGAGTGATTTATATAAGTTGTAAAAACTTGTTTCATAATTGTTGTAAAAAAAATGAATTACATATTTATATGTGTGGAATTTTACTCTTGCTTATTAAAGCAATATTGTATAGTGACTAATTATTACTTACTTATTAAAGCAACGGCCAATATATATATATTGGCATATAACTTAGGTATTGTAATGGTTAGAACGTTAACATAAAGGACATGGTATTTCCACAACACCACTATACTTATAAATCTATGTTAAACCTGCACTTACCTGTAGCAGAAGCTGTTTTCTTTCTTCTGTATAACAGAAAAGTGAGATATAAAATCATGAAAAATCATTCTACAATTGTAACTGAATTTCAGTATCTACACTCTTGAGATTGTCAACACAATATAACCGATTTTCACTCATTTTATGTCCTATAAAGTTTTACTTTAATCTATATATGTGATCCAAGAAAAAGTATCAAGAAACTTATTACAACTGCTTCAAAAATTAAAAATCAGTTTAAACATCATTTTCATTGCAGAGTGTTGTAGTTGATTTTGTGCTCTATCTTTCTACTAGATGGATAGAGGATTGCTTTTTTGTTACATTCGTTTTCTTAATAAAATGATTAAGAAATATGAAAATATGTTTGTAGATTATTTCTAATACTTCATTCACAATTTCAAAAATTGAAAAGATACATGAATTGGAAAAGGCAACAGAATATGAATTAAATATCTAATTTGATTGTACATGTGCAAATAAAAGACATATGGATGGCATTTTTATCTTATTATTCTGAATCAAAATTACGAATTCATAAATTGTTTTCCAATAATGAGCAGCATTGTATTCTCAGATTGACAGGTATATCTGAAAACCTTACTGTACATACCGACTGTCATCAATTCATAGCTAGGTATGGTAGGTTCAGGTGTTCCCGAGCGATCAGAGCTGTTATCACCTGGTCAAATATATAAAACATGTACAGGCAGCTTATGTTTCTATTCCACCGTCACACAACAAATGGAATTTGATTGAAAGGATTATAATATAAAAATCATTTGATCCATACCCTGTTGGACAAATGATTTACAAGCTAGGGGTTAGTTTATTGATAGTTAAGTCCTGTTGTGACACTTATGAATCATGGATATGTATGGATATGTTTGGTTATGTATATGGATATGTTTGGTTATGTTTGGTTATGTTTGGTTATGTTTGGATATGTTTGGTTATGTTTGGTTATGTTTGGTTATGATTGGTTCTAACCAAGAGTCTTGATCAACATATTAGCCAATGTATAAGATTAATGAATTACAAAACAACTTTACTTAGAGTTTCAACTGCAGAATTTTCTGTTTTCAAAATTACTTCCCATAAAGATTCTGTCAAATACCTGTAAAACTTGTTGGATGTTCCATAATCAATACTTCAATTTAATAGTATGAATTAATTTCTTCCATACTCTACTGTCAGGAGCTTCAATCAGATTTCAAGTGGTATGTATCAAAACAAAGTAGGTAGTAAATATCTGTACATTTTATAGTACACCATTTCTATTCTAATTTAATTTTTACATGAAGTAGCCGGTGAAATATCTGTAGTAGAACGAAGGGTATTTTAACCGGCTACTGACTACAATTGAAACCCCTGCTCAGATGCAATTCAATCGTTCACCAAATCTTACCAGCTAAATGATTTCCATTCCTGAACTTATTATGCTTGTTCCTTCTAGGAGAATGTGTTAAAATCTTTTCTTTCTTCAACTTTTTCACTTAAATAGAAACATAGAAAAATTAACATGTTGTTAAAATCCTGTTCTTCCCTAAACATTCTGTAAATTAAAGTGAATCAAATTTCTTTGTAAAAACCACCTGCGGAGGAAAACAAAATGGGCGTGAACAAACAAGTGGCCTTGATAAATAGTATGTTAATACAAGGAAAGAAACAGTTGGATATTAAACCAATAGTTCTAGACAAATGGTAGCTTTAATAGCAAAACCTAAGACAGGTTTAACTGTAATATTACATCTACCATACTACATTCCTTTCTTGATGAGTTAAAATTATAATCGCATCCGATAATCAGTGTAAAAGAGCACAACTCTACTCTGTAAATATACACTATGATTATTAATATACTGTTTATCCAGGTAAATCAATTCATCACATCACTACCTGGAACCCTGTTATCTCACTGGTACTGGCAAGTCCTTAACGGTCGATTCATTAATGCTACGTCTTGACAATACTACTTGCACAATATTTCATACAATGTGTATTGACTGTATACCAAGCAGCATTCCAAAGAAAATTGGTTTGTTGACTTTTCAAATGTAAAAATTGTCAAAAATTACGCTGAACGAATTTGTTGTTGATACTTTGTCCATTCTAACTAAATAAGACTTTTTAATATTCATACTGCGTTACACTCAATGTGAAGAATTCCTGTCCAACCAATAAAAAAAAATGGTTAAAAGTGTTATTATGGCAAATGACACCCTACTATTGGCAGAGAGTAGAATAGACAATGACAATGCATGACTTGACCTGATTCAGTTTAGTCCACAGTACTTCCAATAGCCCATTTTGTTGAACCACATCACACATTGACAAAACAAAATTATTTGATAAAAAGTTCCAAATGTTGAATTACAGGACAGTACTTCAACTAATGAATTTACAAGCAACTCTGCACAGCTGCTAAGGAAATCAACGCAAGTCTATTTTCCTGCTGATGAAAAGTGAATTTATACACTGTATGTTACTATTGTATAAACTTATCAAGTTGACAAAATGTTGAACAATGATCGTTCGAGCCTATGTAGCTACCGGGTATGTATGCTTCCTTAGTAGATATGTGCAGTCCATTTGTAAATAATATAAACATATGCAGCAGACACCTAAGGAAAGTATTATTATTTACAATTTAAGTAAGTATAAGTATAATAAAAGTACCTTTCTTGTCGACATTGTAACTCCAGTCAACATCATTATCATCATCTGGACTGTCATGGTCGTCACTGTCACCCTTCCCCGTCGTAGCTACTCGACTACTTTAAAATCACATATAAACAACAATTAAACAAATATTCACATTGCTGAGTTTAAAAAAAGTCTTTTTTTTTTTTGATTGTTGTTCTCTGACATGTACAGTGTATGAACAATTTTCTTCAAGGCAGAAGGTTTTCGCAAAGGGTGGTGTGTTCCTTTTCCAGTATAAAAGAATTCCAGCCTCATTTCTGAGTCTTGGTTAACTTATTGGTCTGGCATATTTAAAATGATTTGTAAATGTATATGGTAACTCACATAAACAGATTGCTTTCTTCAAACTCAACATACAGGTATCAAATCTTCTAAATTGTCATTCAAATCAAATCTTTATACGTATAAACAAGATGTAACTTATATGTATGATTTTTATATCAACATCGATACATCCAAACATACAACATCAAATGCACATACAGTTGTGATACATGCTGTCAGAATAGAACTGGTTTACTTGAGTGCATGTTCACCTTTATTTTAAAAATATAACTCATCTTTTATTGTCAATGTTGAAAGAATTTATTTAAGGGTATTATGACAAAATAACGCCAATTAACCCTAAACAACAATTGCAATATTAACCCAAGACTGCATCGACCCCTCAATAAGTGAAAAATAGATTTGATGCTATAGTGAACAAGACAGTACCAGGTATGCCTTCCCGTGCTGGAATGGTTGCCCTGATCCTCTTATGCATGAAATTTTTCAGTACATTGATAAATAATAATAATAATTTACGGTTCTTATATACTGCTTTATCACAACTTCATTAGTTTGTAGGTCATCTCAAAGCGGTTCACAAATTATTATCTGTGGTTAAAGGGCCTTTGCAACCAGCCAACATCTTTCTCAACTCCCTGCAGGGGAGCATACAGCCGGTGCTGCCATTTCGGCGCTCACAGATAATATTCTACAATTCTAGCACTGCCCAACCACATACTCATTTACAGCTGAGTAGACTGAAACAATCGGAGTAAAGTATCTTGCTCAAAGATACAACACAGTGCCGTGCTGTGACTCGAACCCTTCGGTCACGAGCCTGGCNAGATACAACACAGTGCCGTGCCGTGACTCGAACCCTTCGGTCACGAGCCTGGCTTTTTAATCCTACCACTTGACTACTGTGCCTCCTAATTGATTCCTTTTATTCAAATGTTATTCCATTTGACTTAAATTATTAGTCAGTACAACACTACTATTACCTTAGCATCATTATTTGGCAGATTCAGTCCTAATTACACACTTTTCTGTTTAATTTTTTCCAGAGGTGCTCTATTTATATAACTAGAACAGACCTGTTTGGCAGACAAGTGAGATAAACAAGTACCTTGTTTCACTTTCCTTGGCGATACGGGCCTGGCGGCGACTTGCTATTCTTGAACTATTTCTGCCCATGCCCATACACTTTTCAAGGTGTGGAGCAAATCTGGATGCTGCAAGGTTCCGCTGACAATTTGGACAGACACATTCAAACTGCTTTTTTGTTGCTACCTGTCCAAACACATCCACTCCCAGCTTTTCTACTATTTCTGTTGAGGAAATATATACACATTTAAAAAACACGAGATCCCAGAGGGATCTTGGCACCCACCTTTGTACCATCTTCATTAGTTCTTTGTCAGTTCGATCTTTTCTCTTCTTTCCTCTAATCTGTTTGATCGAGTCATGTTAACAGTAAATGCTCCTTGAGGTAACTTTTGATCTAAACTTAATATTGATGTGTATGAAGGCCAATCTTCAAAGTGTGTTTGTCATTTCACATATTTACTAGTACAGTACTTAAATTAAGTGAAAGAAATAGAATCGATCATTGCAATATGAGAAAGATCTGTTTAGTTCTTCTTTTAATCCATTTTGTTTTTATGATCAGTCTCAAAATATAACATGCACACAGAGAGATCAAGGGGAACCTACATATAAAATTTGAGAAAGATCCCTCCCGTACTTCCCGAGAAATAGCGATAACAAACTCTCACTATCAAAATCCAAGATGGCTGCCTGTCGGCCATGTTTTTTATCCGATCAGTCTCTAAAATTGCCCTGCACAGCTAGGACCAAGGGGAACCTACATATAAAATTTAAGAAAGATCCCTCTTGTTCTTCCGGAGAAATAGCGGTAACAAACCTACACTATCAAATTTCAAGATGGCTGCCTGTCGGCCATGTTGTTTATACGATCAGTCTCAAAAATTGCCCTGCACAAATAATAACCAAGGGGAATCTACATATAAAATTTTAAAAAGGTCCCTCAAGTGCTTCCTGAGAAATAGCGATAACAAACTTTCTATATCAAAATCAAAGACGGCTGCCTGTCGGCCATGTTGTTTATCCGATCAGTCTTAAAAAATGCCATGCACAGCTAAAATCCAAGGGGAACCTACATATAAAATTTGAGAAAGATCCCTCTAGTTCTCCTGGAGAAATAGCAATAACAAACTTTCTATATCAAAATCAAAGATGGCTGCCTGTCGGCCATGTTGTTTATACGATCAGTCTCAAAAGTTGCCCTGCACAGCTAAGGACTAAGGGGAACCTACAAATAAAATTTGAGAAAGATCCCTTGGGTACTTCTCGAGAAATAGCGCTAACAAACTTTCACAATCAAAATCCAAGATGGCTGCCTGTCGGCCATGTTGTTTAACTGATCAGTCTCAAAAGTTGCCCTGCTCAGCTATGGAGTAAGGGGAACCTACATATAAAACTTGAGAAAGATCCCTCGGGTACTTCTTGGGGAAATAGCGATAACAAACTTTCAATATCAAAATCCAAGATGGCTGCCTGTCGGCTATGTTGTTTATCTGATCAGTCTCAAAAATTGCCCTGCACAAATAATAACCAAGGGGAACCTACATATAAAATTTTAAAAAGATCCCTTTCTACTTTCGGAGAAAAAGCGATAACAAACTTTCACTATCAAAATCCAAGATGGCTGCCTGTCGGCCATGATGCTTATCCAGTCACCCACCACTTTGAAGATTGGCCTGGGATGGTAGGATTTTTTTTTTTTACATTCCCAGAACAGAAAGACTGATGGTTATTAATGAACAAGGTATTAAAGAAAACATAACTTTATTAACTTCTTTCTTACAAAACAGCAATAGCAAAGTATCAAAGTTAAATTTCAGCTTAAATTTCAGTTGTTATACCTACTCTTGAAGAAAGAAAAATTCTGTACAAAAAATGATTTTGTTCGGCACATAAATCCCCAGTTGGTCTGTCTGTGCCCATCAAACTTTATTTCATTTTTGGCCTGAAAAAGGCAAATCATGTATGCACTGTATATATATATAATATATGCATTTTTCATGACATCAATAATCCACTTACCATATTCTCGTTGTGACCTGCAAAGAAATCATGAAAGACATTTTAACATGATTATAATATAATACCATGTTTATCATTTTAGCTACTCATTATCATAACTTTTTAACATATTTACTTTTTGTCATTTTCTCTACAATTCTGCATGTAAAATAAAGTAATTGACACATATATACCACTACCAGTATGTAAAAATATACGATTGTAACAAAAAAATATGTGAAAATATTGATGTTTTATTAAAAGCTGTGATAAAATGTTTTTAAATTAAATTAATTGTTGCGCTGCGTATATAGTGCTGTTCGCATATACATGTGCTGTGTACGATCACTGTGCCTTCTACCTGTGTCTTACCTTGTTACGTCAATATAACTTATAAGGTAATTGTTCTAAATATACATGTTACATATTTTGGCGCGGTTTTTAGTACTCATTCATAGACAGAGCTAAAGGGTGGATGTATTTTATATCCAGAAGTTTGAAGTCTTTTTTTTTGTTACTCCAGATCTGGTATGTACACATATAGATGTGACAAAGTCTTATTCTGTTATGGGTTTATGTTAAATTACTGTATTAATGAGATATTGGATAAAGTAGCATTAATTATATTGTGAAATTGTACTTTTTATAAAATTATCAGAATCTTGATCTCATGTACATGTGTATTCAATCAATACATAGATAGATCTTTTTAAAGTAATGTATTTATATGTTTATTATCAACATGATGTAAACTGTGAATTACGTGTCTCTTTTACAGAGATAATAGAGTTTTTGATAGAGAACGGATACAGATCTTCATTCTGTGTAAACCCCCAACCCATAGTTTGAGTAGGTAATCTAATTTTGTATATGATAATGTAAACAAGTGCTAATTGATAAGGATAATTGTAAACAATACATGTATAAGTAATTTGTATAAGTACTGTAATTTCTACTATTGATTATGATGAAGTCAGACATTGTAAAGTTAAAGTATTATTCCTAATATGAATAACCTATTGTGTGTGAATGTACAAAAATGTATGCACTGAATGTTAGGAATTATATGTAAGTACTGTGTTTCATTATGTAATCAATTGTATTGTTTCTTTGTAGGGCTTTGATTATGTTCCACATATTGTGGAAATAAACATGTGAACCGAGAAATCTGCGTCGACCTTGACTTTCAATCAATTTTACACGAATTTATCACTTATCAATTACTAAATGATGAAAAGAATGTACGTACACATCTAAGATACTGAATGTTGTTTATCAGGGACATATAATAGAATGTTAAAAACAGAGAAACTTTGTATGATGTGACTATCTATATATCAGTAGGATTAAATGATGAAGCATACAAAATTAGCATAGACACAGTAATAAATTGCTATATACACATTGTAAGTGTTGTAGAATAATATACTTACTTGGGATCTGTATCCCCTAAAAACAATGTGCCAATTTTTGAAGCTCTGTGAATATCAAAGCAAAGACCGAGTGTCACTTCATCAATCAGCTCATTCATGACATCTGTCAGCATACCCTGCCAAAATGAAGAAAGAGCACAAGACAGCATCATAACTGATGTCTTAAAGATGTCTGAAAATTGTAATCAAATTTTTAAACCCCAAATAACCATTTCAGCTTTCATATCTTAAAGGTTAAGACATCCAAATTAAACTTATTAGGATAATTATTTATAATGTATCTTACATATAGTAGCGTGATTAACTTCCTCAAAATGAGATACAACATATCAAAATATTCTGTCATTTTTAAAATAAACTGAGTGAGTCCTGACAGAGTCGATCACTAATATTATAACATGCTATAAACTGGTGTCCACATCAACCCCTGTAACAAGGGTTACTGGTTGTTTCGCCCGAAATCTTGTTAGCCCTAGGTTGATTTGCGCTAGGATGTTCACCCTAAAACAAAAATATAAGGGCGAAACATGGTTTGGTATTTTCTGTCAATTTCGGTAGTTTAAGTCACAAATTAAGTGCATGTTCTTGGTCTTCTATATAATTTTTATCAATTTCATAAACAAAATGTGATTGTCTTGTTTTTAAGCGAGTGTGACAAACGGCAGCTGTGAAAAGCTGACTCCACTCCCACATACTTACTCTACTTGAAATATACCAAACAACATTGTAGAAAGTCATCAATAAGTTTAGTTGATATATTTAAATATTAATCATTATATAAGCGTATGAATTAAATATTTTTTTTAGGGCGAAACAACTTAGGGCAAACAGGATTCAGGGCGAAACAACCCTCAGTGCGAACAGGATTTAGGGCGAAGCAACGGTTGAACCCGTTTCCGTAACAAGTATTATGAACACTTTTCTAACATATATGAGAAACAGGAGGGATGAAGACTCTTTGATAGTAGCTAGCAGCTGATTGCTAGCATGCATCCTCATACAACTATAAACTGACGTGAGGCGAACTTACCCAACTGTCTGTCTGAACGGTACCGTCCGAACTTATCCCAAGGCGGGGCTAGTTCGACCATTCAATATTCCGATAGGAAAAGTTAATTATTCTTCTATTACGGACGTGTTTGTCATAAACGAATGCTATGCTTCCCAGGACAACTTTAATACAAATAGGCCAAACTTAATCCGGTCTCCACTTATTTAATATTAGTCTTTAGCAGGTTGGGGAAAACCACCAACTTGTGTATAATATGCAAACTTGCCTATTATATACACCAGTTGGAGTATGGATTTGTTACTAAAAATAACCCAAATCGCTTTAAAAGTAACTTTTGCAATATATTATTAAAAATCGCATTTATTTACGACAAGGTAAACAATATTTTGCTAAAATATGTTTACTGAAAGCGTTGGCTACTTAGAAACTTAATGTAACTCTACCAGAAGTATTGCATCTATTTTTGGTACTTTCCTACATGGAAATAAATTTTCTATTTGCATTTGTAGGATGTTTCATGATTAAATAAATGCGACTTGGACAAAAAAAATGAAAAAGTTAAGATTAAAGTGATTTTGGCTATTTTTAGTAACAAATCCATACCCCAATTGGCGTGTAATAGGCGAGTTTGCGTATTATACGCCCGTTAGTGGTTTTCCCCGACCTGTTAATTACAGTAGAGCTTGTGTTTATTCGTGTTTTATTGTTATCAGGTTATTCCTAGACTTACCGAGTTTAAATATAGCTTATCTTGTCTTATTCTGAGTCCGTAAATATCAGAGCTACAATTTTTTAGACTTCGATTATAATGTCTATGTGGATTTATTTTCATTCGCATAGTTAATAACGATACTCGTATTGTTCGTCTGCTTTGAAAAAAGGGCAGGTGTCTGCAGCTGTTTGCCTACTTCAATATTGTGCTGCTTCGGAAATAGCCTTCAGCATGTTGGTGTTGTACAGTGAGTCCATTTGTAAAATACAAGGAAATGCGTAGTTACCTGTAAACCTGTGTCTCCATTCTGTTGACAATGCGGAGTTTTGTTATCCATGCCTTGAAGATTTTTTTTGCGTCAACACAAGAAACAAACACCGATGACAGACACCGGAAGTGTGAACTGGCGCTCTTGGCTCTGACAAAAGGAGTCGGACACGGGCATTGCAGAATCCGGAATCTGACCCTAAGATGTGAGGAGTTGGGTTTAAATAATAAATGCAACTATGATAATTATAATCTTGCTGACATGATGTTTTTCCTTTGTTATTGTTAATTGGTTACTGTTTTGACATATGGAACACAAGGATTTAGTTAAGCCCGTTTTATTTATTTATTTTTTGGACGGTAACATAACGGCGGCAGCAACATCCACGATACTCCAAGGAGTGAGAGTAACTACGCAACAAAACGTAACATGCATGCATACGCATAATTTTATTTTTTTAGAATGATATGCATTGATGATAGACTTAACTATAATGTTTGCATCCTCGATACTCCAGGGGTTACGTTCACTTTCGCTCTCTGCACCCCAGGAATATGTCATAGCAAAATTAAAGGCACATGGCTAGCTATTTGATTGGTTTCAGGTTAAAAAAAACTGACCAATCGCTTGGCTGATAACTGTACCGTTACGCGACCGCGAGAATCTTTTGATAGACATCAAAGGATCATCGAACTAGTTTTCTTGTCTCATCAACAAGGTGACGCACACTGATCCTTCGAATTTGCTATGACATATTCCAGTGGTTATATCTTTATTTGGACCTAAACTAAGGTGTTCAGTTCAGCCTATTATTTTCACGTGTTTACGGTTTAGATACAATTTTTGTAAATAGCTAGCCACCCCAATGATATAAATGCAATCACTGGGGTTGCATTTTCCTAAAACGTGTAATATGCTCTGATTACCTCAGTTTTGGTCAAAATATACACATATACGTACGTCGATCTAATTAAAATTATATCTTCACATCGCTCCCGTTTACTGATAAACGGGAGCGATGTGAAGATGTACTTTTAATTAGATTGATACGTACATATAGTTGTAACAAATTCTCAGGTCCCTGTGCTTGATAAGCTAGTCTCCGACTGGATTTTACATTTAGCTGCAACTCATTATAATTAACTGCTGTCACTTATTAGAGACATACGTTTATGTAACAGACTGTTGACTGTCAGGTTTCATCAAATTATATAACTCGTAATTAGTGGCACGAGGATCGAAGGTTTATGTCAATATATTTGTATACATTCAAGATAGCGCTTTGTATAGAATAAAAGGTCATGGTTTCCCCCAAGAATACCCAATGATGAGTTTTAGGTTCGGATGATGCATACTGGTACATACAATAAGTGACTCACTGGTCATACTGGTACATACAATAAGTGACTCACTGGTCATACGTATACTGGTACATACAATTAGTGACTCACTGGTCATTCATACTGGTACATACAATAAGTGACTCACTGGTCATACTGGTACATACAATAAGTGACTCACTGGTCATACTGGTACATACAATAAGTGACTCACTGGTCATACTGGTACATACAATAAGTGACTCACTGGTCATACTGGTACATACAATAAGTGACTCACTGGTCATACTGGTACATACAATAAGTGACTCACTGGTCATACTGGTACATACAATAAGTGACTCACTGGTCACACTGGTGCATGTAACATACATATACACGTGCCTACATATTCACGGGTTTCTTGATATCCTTGTGTATTCATAGGTTTCTATGGTCAGCACCCTGTACTTAAAGTTGACTTTACAGCTTCGGGTACTCTATTATCTTTTTTTTTTGTTTTGTCCTCCACCTTGAGCATTTTTGTATTGTAACAGGAGAGGAAAAATGCACGGCGAGACCGGGGTTTGAACCCGGGACCCTCCGAACTCTAGACGGACGCTCTACCAGTTGAGCTACATGTACCTGCTCGCCGACGATCGACCTAGTCCAGTTTCGCTACAGTATTTTTTACTTGACATTCCTGTTGTTTTACGGTTCCAACCCGAGCCCAAGGAACGTCTAGTCTAAAAACAAACAGTGAATGCGCATTAGTCGGAATGCGTCAATAACAGTTTTGGAAGTTCGATTCATCACCTTTAAAAAGAAGAAACTCCATAATAATTAACTTATAGCTATTCAGGAAATATATAACTAACTTTATTTTTACAATAATTTATGTAAAATTTACTTCAATTTCTTAATATTCGTATTAGTTAATAAGTTGTTTTTAACATTTCAAGAGCTAGACAATTTAGAATGATATCAGATCACGGACTTAGATAACAACGTAAGACACACACACATGTGATTTCACCTGCCAGATTTGGTAATTGATACAGTATGCTAGAAATGAATGAGTTCCACTGCATCGCTGATGATTGGGTCCAAAAAGGTGGAAATACAAAAAACCACCGTTGAAGCAGCAGGCGAGGTGCATACAGCACCTTAATTATATGAGTTTTTAAACCAATCTAAAAAATTAGATGGGCACTAGTTAATTTCAAATCAATAATAAGAAAAGCGTGTATATTCTAAACCATGCCACTATTCAAAAGAGACGACTGTGGCCACCAAGGTTACGCCAAACCTCAGGGACGAAGAGATGCGTCAGCAGAATCTACTACATCGAAAGTATAATTACATAATTTTGGCCATAGAGCTTTTCATCCCCCTGGGACTCATTGGTGATGCTAGGACGGATCTATAAGTTGGTATAAACTACTGTTGATGCAAGAGGGGAGGTGCATAAAACCAATTAAGTATATGAATATAAAATAATCGGATGACTAGATGAGATTATAACATCGACATTATAATGTTTATCAGTTTATTCAATGATTCAGCACAGAACACATGATCTCAATCGTAGGAGCACTGGGTGTAACAACCAGCATTATCTATAAATATTAAATAGGCGAGGGAACTGATGCTGAACGAGCAAATTACAGGAACATCATTTACAAGATTCTACATTGAATACTATTGATGGACCTTAAGCAGAGTTATATTTCCTTATTATACTTATGGTAAATAATATTAGATATAGAAATAATTAAGTCTGGACCGTTTCAATCAAATCAGTCATCCCAAGGTTTCTAATTACCAAATCTAGCCGAGATGACGGTTGACCTGACATATTAAACGTTATCCTCTACACGAATCAATGTGTACTTTGTCCTTGATTTAATAGGAATAGTAGTAATATATATCCACATATTGACGCGGAACTTATGAATTGATAATCATTCTCGGTGTCAGCCAAAGTCAGGAAGCGTGTCCCAATGAGTTTATTATTGATATCCTATTCCAAGACAAAAACTTAATGTATTTTAAAACTTAAACATGTATATTTACGGGATATGATGTAGGCTCTCAAGCGATGATACACATGCATAATCATACCTGTAGGGAAGCAGAACATTGATTGTGTTATTGACATAGAAGGAGTGGTTATGTAGATAAAAGAATAATGTGAAACGAGTAGAAACATGATAAAAATCTGTACAGTACAGGACAAATCTATTGAGACAGTAATACGGTGTGCCATGTAAACAAGAAAACCTGTTGTGATCGACCGGGAATCGACTCTCAGATAGGAAAAGAAAAAAATACGGTTACCACCCATATATACCGCTACTAATCGACCCGCAAGAGTAATAAATACAACGTTTTTTAAGTAATCAGAGTTGTTTCAGAATTGTTACAAACTTAATGAAGTATATATAAACAGTATTAAGCGAGTCTTGTTGCTAGGGGAAATAGTCGCATGTAAAAATATTGAAATCATAATACGTTAATACTTTATGATGTAAATGAAGAAACCCTATGCTACGTTTACATTATGTTCCCGGCAGCCACGGCATTCCCGTTTGCCCGAAACGTAGTGCGCCGTGGCAATTTGGCCATTTTTTTTTCTCTGATTACAAGTCTTGGCAAGTTTTCCCACGGTCTGTCACGGTATTCGTGACAGGCCGTGGGGGAAAAGGGGCTGCTGAGTCCCGGAGGCTCCAAGGCGCACTACGGTTCGGCCAGCGGTCTACCAGTACGTTCCCTTTAGGCCCGTCACGTTCTGATGGGGTCCCTCACGTTTCTCACCGTTCTGATGAAGGTCTGACACGGTTTTCACGTTCTGTCAAGGCTTTCCACGGATAAAACGTGGACACCCGGCAGCTTTGGAGCACGTTTGTGCCCAGATGGCCTCCCAAGCAAAAGCAATCATTAACGTCAGTGCAGGCAAATTCGTCATGCACCCAAATTCGCCACCCTGAGACGAAAACGTCATATGACGTCATACTACAGAAGATGTGACGTAAAAAACGTAATCTCATACATCAACGCAGATAAAGCTTTCATAAGATTTTACAAGAAGAGCAGTAAGAAGAGCAAAATAACACTAAATTTATCTAAACAATAATGAAATCGATTGTACATAACGAATCTTGAAATATTCGTCTGTGCGACGGACATCTCTTCAACTAAGTTGATTGATCTCGGGTCTGTTGGTTGTTATTTAGAGTAAATGCTAGTTCACACAACTTGAAAATATCATATCTTAACACTAACTTCAGTTTTATGGTTGACTAAGCCGTAAATGCAAGGAAATTGCGATCCAACGCTAGACCTATATTGTGTTCGGTCTGGTGTTGGGTCTGGTGGTGTTATAATGATATTGGGCTACTGTACAATTTATTCATATTGAAACGTTTTCATATGACAAAGTACAAAAAGAAATACTCAAAGGAAAATATTGAACAGGCTATGATTGCAATTAAGAATGGCATGACAAAGTACAGAGCAAGTCGTATTTTCCATGTGCCGCGATCTACTCTTGTGTCACGCGTTCTCCGCCCATTGAAAGGATACCCTGTCCGCTGCCTCACAGAAGACTAGGAAGAATACTTAAAATCTTATATCAAATATTGTTCGCAAAGGTATGAATATTTGCTGTAATTGAAAAAATAAAGAATGTCAATTTTCTCAATGGTATGTGCTGAAGATACAGTGCAATAACTATAACGTTCCAGTGCACAAGTAATAATTGTTGTTGAAATAATTTATCAGTTTTTGTTGTTGAAATAATATATC